TCAAATTCCATAGAATAGAAGCTGCTATTGGGAACTTGGTGCTGAGTGAGCATGCAGGTTTGACCCCATTTACAGCCACTTAGTTCTTAGCAGGTCCTTGTCTAGAATCACCCTGCCCCTCATGGCTGTTAGTGACCAGAATAAAATGCATTAGTTAACTGTGAATGGGTGACAGAGCAGATGGGGTCAGAGCCATTTCTCAGCATGGGAGTGTACTGTCAGTGGGTTCTCTGTCATCTAAAGGGCGGCATCTGAAAAGTGCAATAAAAGCCTCCTAACTTCACCACAGGAAGAAATGCTCGATCTGGGCAGGGCTCTGCACCACCCATTTAAAATCCACAAAATAGACATCTCTAGCTTTAGTTTTTAATTGCTTGTATACATGTGTACATGTTTTATCTGTTTATGACACATGTATTCAGTGCTGGAGGTGGCCAGAAGAGGGTATCAGACCCTCTGGAATTTAGAGTTACCAGACAGTTGTTAGCCACTGTGTGAGTGCTGGGAACCAAACTTGGGTCCCCTGTAAGAGCGGCAAATGCTCTTAACCACTGAGCCATCTCTCGGCACCCTTCCCCTCTTTTTTTTTGAGACACGGTCTTATCTCTTTCAGACTAGCCTGGGTCCCCTGTTGCATTTTTCCTGTCCCACCTACCCCCTTTTTGATACAGGGTCTCACCTACACCAGACTGTCCTATTATTCATTGTATAGTGGAAGATGACTTTGGACTCCCCTTATCTCCTGCTTCCGCTTACTCAGTAATGGGACTATAGGCATGTACCGTCACACCCAATACATAAGTGCTGAGGCTTGAACCCAGGGCTCTGCATGCTGGGCAAGCACTCTCCCAACCTGAGTTACATTTCTAATCCCTTGTCTCATTTTTTTAAAGTATGAAATACTTCAGAATTATAAAGAGCCAATAAATCTAACATCTTTGTTCACAGCACTGCCCCCCCCCCCCTTTCTTAGAGTCTGGCTAGTTGCTCAGCCTAACCTCAGATTACCGGCTCAAGCAATCCTGTGTCAGCTTAAGTTGTTGGAGCAACAGCTTTATTTTTTTATTTTAATTAAAAATGAAAGAAATCTCATCACCAACTTTGTTTAGGTTTTGTTTCCTTGTTTTGTTTATTTTGTTTTATTTGAGGGAAGGAGAGTTGAGACAGGGTCTTACCTGCAGCTTTGATTGTCCTAGAACTCATTATGTAGATAGGGTGGCATCAAACTCCTAGAAATCCCCCTTGAATCTGCCTCCCTAGTACTGGGATTAAAGTCATGTGCCACTGTGCCTGGCTGGCTTCTTTGGTTTTGATTCTGTACTTTCTTAGCTTTAGAGGACCAAAAAGTCTTGAAAGATTCAGAAGTGGAAATGATACAGGGGCCATGAATGTGTTGCTTTCTCTGTAGCTCTCCAGTGAAGAAACCAAGCCTTCTAAAGATCCACCAGTTTGAGGCAGACCCTTTTGACTCTGGATCTGAGGGCCCCGAGGGCCTTGGTTCTTCATGTGTGTCATCTCTTAGCATCCTGATAGGGACTGTGGCTGAGACGTCTGAGGAGAAGTACCGCCTTCTGGACCAGAGAGACCGAATCATGCGGCAAGGTATGGTGCACAGAGACGAAAGTTCCAGAGTCCCTGGCAAGGTTGTGAGGCAGTTTCTGGGGAGCCACAGCGGCTCCACGGCCATTGAGTCTTGGGATTTCTTCTATGCTATGACTGGTATGACTTCCTGGAGGTGGGAGCTATGTGTGTACTAATGTGTGATGAGTGCATATGTTTACGTATGTATAGGAGTATATGAGGAATTACAATGATTGTTGGTAGAAAGGGAAAAGGTGTTTGTAATGCAGAAATGAGAGATGATGCGTATGTTCAACTGTGAATACATTACTTCAAACAATGTTAAATTAACATTCCAAATATATAGTGAAAATCCATGTACTCTTTACAATTTTTTTAAAAACTTTTTTCTTTTTAAAAATTTATTTTTATTTCATGTGCATTGGTGTTAGACCTGCATATCTAGCTGTGTGGTGATGTCAGATCCCTTGGAACTGGAGTTACAGACAGTTGTGAGCTGCCATGTTGGTGCTGGGAATTGAACCTGGGGTCCTCTGGAAGAGCAGGCAGTGCTTTTAACCTCTAAGCCATCTACCTCTACAATTTTTTTCTTAATTTTTAAGTGTTTTTTTTTTTTTTTTAACAGCTATATAGCCCATGCTGGCCTAGAGCTTAAAATTCTCCTCTTTCAGCCTCCCGAGTACTGGGATTAGACATATCTGTCACACCTGGCAGGATTTTCTTTTTAAAAGCTGAGAATAATTGTAATAATCACAGAGCTTTTTTAAGATGATAATGAAAACTGCTGCCATAATTTATAGAATTGGTGATCATTTCTAATAAACTATTGTCTTGGTTAAGGTTTCTATTGCTGCAATGAAACACCATGACCAGAAAGCATGTTTGGGAGGAAAGGGTTTATTTGGCTTACACTTCCATATCACTGTCTATCATTGAAGGAAGTCAGGACAGGAATTCAAGCAGGACGGGAACCTGAAGGCAGGAGCTGATGCAGAGGCCATGGAGGGGTGCTGTTTACTGGCTTATTCCTGATGGCTTATTCAGCCTGCTTTTTAATAGAGCCCAGGACCACCAGCCCAGGGATGGCACTGCCCACAATGGGCTGGACCCTCCCCCATTAATCACTAATTAAGAAAATGTTCTACAGTCTTGCCTAGAGCCTGATTTTTGTGGAGGCATTTTCTTAATTGAGGTTCCCTCCTTTCAATGACTTTTGTTTGTGTCAAGTTGACATAAAAATATCTAGCACACTTATTACAAGGAAAGCCTGGCTGGGTCGCACATATGTGCCTTCCCAGAACCTGGGATGATTGTACTGTTCTGCAACTCCAGCCCTCTGGAGGCAGAGGCAGGACATTCTGGTCTGCACAGTGAGTTCCAAGGTAGCCTGAGCTGTGTAGTGGTGCCCTGTCACAAAAGCAAAAACAAAAAAAATTAAATAAACTTATACTAATTATTGCAGTTTTTAAAAGTATAACTAAGATGTGTATATGGTATTGTTGTCCAGTTTCCTTCAAAACTTTTCATTCTGTTGGTAAAAATAATGGTATACTTACTCAGGTGGGCACCCAGCTAACTTACATTATATAATTCTGGATACTGAGACAATCTTAGAATACTGGTATATTTTGAATATTTGTATTTGACAGTTCTTTTAATTTTTAAATTTTATATATTTATTTTGAGATATAGTCTTACTATGTAGCCCCTGGCTGTCCTCAAACTCATGGAGATCCATCTGCCTTTGCTTCCCAAATGCTGGGATTAAAGATGTGTGCCACTGATGTCCAGCCCACAAATTTATTCTTTGATTAATTTCCTGTTTTACTACTGAGGCCGTGATAAGAATTACAGACTGCTGGCAGAGCACATACCTTTAAGTGGAAGTGATGGCATGCCCAGTCTGTTTTTAAAATTTTTTAAATTTGTTTTTATTTTATGTGTATGGGTGCTTTGCCTACATGTATGGCTATATATCACTTGTGTGCCTCATGCCCAAGAAGGCCAGGTCCCCTTGAACTGGAGTCACAGACAGTTGTGAGGTGCCATGTGGGTGCTATTCTGAACTCACGTGGTCCAGGCTGGCCGCAGAATCTCCTGCCTCAGCCTCCTGAGTGCTGGGTTATAGGCAGTGTGTTTGTTTGTTTTCTTTTTTCCTTTTATGGAACTACACTTTGGTGAATTCTTAGTACTCATATGGTACATATACTGTTGCCTTTGGCTTGCTGTCTTTAGCTCGGGTGAAGAGGACTGATCTGGACAAAGCAAGGGCATTTGTTGGAACGTGCCCTGATATGTGTCCTGAGAAGGAGCGGTACTTGCGGGAGACCCGGAGCCAGCTAAGCGTGTTTGAAGTGGTCCCAGGGACTGACCAGGTAGGGCTGTGTCCTAATGAGCTTTGTTATTTTTTTTCATTGTTTTGATTTTTAAAAATATATGTATTACTCTGTAAATGGTATGTGTGCGCTCCCGCATGTGTGCCACAATGTGTATAAGAGGATAACTTAGAGGAATTGGTTCTCTCACTATGTGGGGTCTGAAGATTGAACTCAGGTCATCAAGTGCCCTTACCCATACTGAGCTATCTCGCTGGGTCTCTTATTTTCTGCTTGTTTCTGATTTTGTTTTTTGAGACAGGTCCCTCTATATGGTCTTGGTTGTCCTGGAACTCATTCTGTGACCAGGCTTCCAAGTGCTGGGATTGAAGGCATGTGCCACTGCCAAGAGGCACTATTTTTGTTTTTAATGTGGACCTTGAGATGTGTTCTGTTCCTTGAAGCCCCTTTACCTGCTATGTCTGTGCTTTGGGGTAGGCAGATGGGTTTTCACACATTCCTGCTCCTGTGATACTCTGGACTCCTTGTTATATTTGCCTGGATTTATATTATCCTTAAAATTTGTCACCTTTAACAGAGCATTTTCATTTAAAAACTATATTCCCAAGCATTGATCTCATGTGGGTGTGTATGTGATTTCCTCCTGCATTTTAAGGTCAAAAAACCTGCCACGAACCAGTTTGTCCCCACTCCTTGCCCCCAGGTGGACCATGCAGCAGCCGTGAAGGAGTACAGTCGGTCCTCTGCAGATCAGGAGGAGCCCCTGCCGCATGAGCTGAGGCCCTCAGCAGTTCTCAGCAGGACCATGGACTACCTGGTGACCCAGATCATGGACCAAAAGGAAGGCAGCCTTCGGGACTGGTATGACTTCGTGTGGAACCGCACTCGGGGTATACGGAAGGTATGGTCTCCATCCAGTCAAATGACTGGGAAATCCACGTATATTCACAAATTGAATTTTTAACTTTTGTTTTATACAGTTATTTTTGTCTGAAACAAAAATATAATTTTATTTGAGCCATTACAAACTGTATTTGATTGTGTTACATGGGTTAGTCTCAAGTTGAAATGTTGAATTACTCATCAGCATAATTTTTTAACAAAGTTGACTTGTTAAAAACTTTTGGTTTGTGTGTGTATGTGGCTTGTGTGTAGTGATCAGTGCATGTGTGCATATGTAATCCTCCCCTCTAATCTGAACAGGACATCACACAGCAGCACCTCTGTGATCCCCTGACGGTGTCTCTGATCGAGAAGTGTACACGGTTTCATATCCATTGTGCCCACTTCATGTGTGAGGAGCCCATGTCCTCCTTCGATGCCAAGATCAACAATGAGAATATGACCAAGTGTCTACAGAGTCTGAAGGAGATGTACCAGGACCTGAGGAACAAGGGTGTTTTCTGTGCCAGTGAAGCTGAGTTCCAGGGCTACAATGTCCTGCTCAATCTCAACAAAGGAGACATTTTGAGGTGCGTTTTCAGATTCAGAAGTTGGGCTTTGATGTATTAGAAAGTCCATGGTGCAGTTGCCACACTGAGCCAGGGGTAAATGAGTGCCAGCATGTACTGAGACCAGCATGCCGTGTGTAATCAATCCCTTCACGTTCATTCTGAGAGGGACCCTCTCGGTGACACAGCTGGGAGACTAGGACATGGAGGTAGGAGTCCCCTTAGTGTCCTTAGCAGTTCAGTTAGAAGGGAAGTTAAATGAAATCAAACTGGATAAGTTCCAGGAGTGAGAGAATTTGAAATGCTGGGTTGATATTTCAGTAGACCTTTAGATAAGAAAGAAAAACTGTAGATTTGTCTGCACCCATGTTTGGTAAGCTAAACTCTGGTAACCACTGCCTTCTTTTAGTTGCAAAAATCCCTTTTTTATATTGAAATCAGTTGTTTTGTGTTTTTCCCCTCTCTCCCCTCTTCCTCCTGCCCTCCTTTATTTCCTCTCTCTTCCTTTTGACATAATCTCACTGTGGGGTGTGACCCAAATTGGCCTCAAATTTGAGATTTCTTGCCTCTGCCTTCTGAGTGCTGGGATTATATCTGTGCACTGCCATGCTTAACTGCAATTTTTTTTTTTTTTGGTTAATATTTTCTCCAGGAACCTGTTGTTATAGGCCTATATATATGGTTGATTTAAGCTTTACAGCAGATAACAAGTTATAGAAATTGCCTGGTAGTCTCTTCATATATGACAAACATTTGTACCCAGTTTGAATAATGCAGTTAAAAAAATTGATCGGGGAGGGCAGCTGTTTTTTGAGACTGGGTTTCTCTCTATTTCTGGCTGTCTTGGAACTCACTCTGTAGCCCAGGCTGGCCTCTAACTCACAAGAGATCCGCCTGCCTCTGCCTCCCGAGTGCTGGGATTAAAGGCGTGTGCCGCCACCGCCACCGGCTTTTTTTTTTTTTCATTATTTCAAGACAGGGTTTCTCTGTAGTGCTGGCTGTCCAGGAACTCGCTCCGTATACCAGGCTTGAACTCAGATCTGCCTCCTAAGTGCTGGGATTAAAGGTGCATCCACCATACCCAGCTGTTTATCATCTTTTTAAGATCTTTGTTTATTATTATTTTTAATTGTGTATAGTGTGTGTCTATGTGTAAGCATATGCATGTGAATGCAGGTTCCTGTAGAGACTAGAGGAGGATGTCAAATATCCTGGAGCTGAAGTTACAGGCAGTTGAGAGCCACCTGACTTGGGTGCTGGGAACCAAACTTGGGTCCTTTGCAAGAATAGCAAGTGATTTTAACCTCTGAGCCATCTCTCCAGCCTCACAGTTTATTATCTTTTTAAAGAAAAGCTCTTAAAACCACACCTGTAATCCTATCTGAAGTTTAAGGTCATCTTTGGCTGCAGAGTGAATTTGAAGCCCATCTGGGATACATAAGATTCTATCTCAAAAAGAAAAGAGGAAGAAAGATAGAGGAAGGAGGACCCGGGTGTGTCAGTTGAGTGTATGAGTGGCAGCTCTGATTATGGGACTTAGATTTCGGTGGTTGTCACCATTCAGACTCCCCGTCTCGGTATTGCTGAAATCTAGCTGTTTGATCAGAGCGACTTAAATCACCATTCTAACGCTTGTGCCTCCTTAACTTACAGGGAAGTTCAGCAGTTCCACCCTGATGTTAGGAACTCCCCCGAGGTGAAGTTTGCTGTCCAGGCTTTTGCTGCATTGAACAGTAATAATTTCGTGAGATTTTTCAAACTGGTCCAGTCTGCATCTTACCTGAACGCGTGCCTGTTACACTGTTACTTTAATCAGGTGAGTGGAACCACTGCTAGCAACATAGGAACAAAAGCAGTAACTGTTGAGGTGTTGACATGCTTCTCTTTTCCTGTACTCTTCCAAATGGGCAGGCAGCAGTCAACTCATGGAGCCTGTCACAGCCCAGCAGGGTGTTTCTGGTTTAACCATGGATGATGGGCTACCATAGATCTCCACTAAGAGCGACCATGCAATGGGAATAGTTCTCTGGCTCACAGAGATCTTTTAATGACAAGTTGAGTTCAACACTATCATCTTCATGAAAACCAACCCCAAACCACAAATCCTATAGTGTACAAAATCCTTAACTTTGAAATTGTTGGTATTAATAAAAATTTTGAGAGAAAGCCAGGATAACCCAGGGAGATTGTTTGGAAAACACAAAACCACCCAACCGTTTTTGAGTGTTAGGCTGCTGATGCTGAGTTCATTTCAGTAAATATCCGAGTCCTGTTTTTCCACTCTGTTCTGTGCTTTGCCTTGGGACTACAAAGGCATTCAGAAGACCGCTTTATTTTATTTTTTAAATTAAGGAGTTTCTTATAAGTTCTTGGTCTTAGTTCCAGTCAGTTTGTTAGCTCCAGCTCTTTGAATTGGCTTGAAGATTCTGGTAGAGGGCCAGCTTAGTCTTCTACAGGTATTGGCACAGTGAGAAATAATGGGTACTGTGACTCTTCCCCAGTGTGCCCTGCCCATGAACATACTGTTTCAGTTGGCCATGGAGTGATTCTGCTTGGCCTCTGCTGATAGGAGAGGGGCTGTCTGGAGGTTATTGTCTATACATACACACACACTCCTAAATATAAGGACAGCCTGCTCAGTCTGGGTAATCTTACTTGTCTATACGTTTTTTAGGACTGATCATTGGTATTAGATAATCAGTTGGTGTGCTCTTCTTGAGGAAGACGATTTCTTCCCACTCTCAGCATTCTTTAGTTGCCTGTAGTTCTTTGTGTAGGGTTGAGGCCTCCTTGGCTTTTCCCTGTTCACATTAGTGTATCTATTGTCCTTGTTCAGCTCATGTATAATAGTCATGTTGGGGAGACTTCATGGATGTAGCTTCTGCTGTCTGTAGTATACACAATCTTGTGACGAACTCCCCATTCCTTTGGCTTTTACAATCTTTCTGCCCCTTCTTCCACAATGTTCCCTGAGTGTGGGAGTGTTATTGTAGATGACCCCTTGGGACTGGACTCAACAACTTTGCATTTTGATTGGTTGTGGTTTTCTATAATTGTCTCTGTCTGCTGCAAAGAGAAGTGTCCTCGATGAGGGGTAAGGACTACACAGGACAAATTTTAGTAAGGCAGCAGTTACGGGTTCTCCTCCAAGACCCATGACTACTAGCCCTAGGTAGTTGGCTAGGTTTCCTGTACCAGGCATGATTTCTCTCTGACTGAGCCGGCCTTAGGTCAAATTAGAGAGCTGTTGGTTACCACCAAGGTGTGTGTGCCACTGCTGCCCTAGGGTTATTGGTTCATATGTGTCATAGCTGAGTAGGACTGTTGGTTGCTTTTGGAAGCTTGCAGGGCGCCTTCTGGTACTATGAAAGCTAGTTCTCAGGGAAGAAGCATTCAGGTCAGTTTCAGCTCAGGGGCCTCTGGGTCCTGTGTCTAAACTGCATGGTGTTTTCAGCAGAAGGGAATTAACCTTCCACCTCTGGAGAGCAACCAAGGGCAATAGCAATAACTTGTAATGTTTTGGGAGTCTCTTGGAAAACCCTGACCAACAACTCCCAGAAGGGCTTTTCATGCCTGGTGCTGACATTTCTATTGTGCTCTTTGGTTCTTGGAGGGAACATTGTAAGCTCAGATGGGAAATTTTTACTTAAGTTATATATGTTTGTTTATACACTAACTTAAGTGTATTATAGGTATTTCTACTTTTGTTAAATAAATATTTATTTATTTATCTATTTATTTATTGAAGTAGGGTCTCTATGTAGCTCTGGCTGTCCTGGACCTCTCTATGTAGACCAGGCTGGCCTTGAACTCACAGAGATCCATCTGCCACTGCCTTCTAAGTGCTGGGATTAAAGATGTTCACCTCTCTGCCAAGTTTTTGTTTTTTTGTTTTTTTAAAGATTTACTTCTTTTTGTATTTTAAGTGTGTGAGTATTTGCATACATGTATGTCTGTGTACCATGGGCATGTAGTGCTCATGGAGGGCAGAATGGGGTCAGATCCCCTGGAACTGGAGTTTGTGAGTTGCAACATGAGTACTGGGAACCAAACCTGGGTACTCTGGAAGAGCAGCCAATGCTCTAAACTGCTGAGCCATCTCTCCAGCTGCTGTTACAGGTATTTTTAGGTAGATAGTTGATAGTTGGATTCCTTACAACTTTTCCAGACATTTTTATTGTTATTTGCTCTTTCTTCCCTCCTCACTAAGTAGAGTTCCCATTCTCCTCCTTTTCTCCCATCTATACCTGTACCCGGCCATTCCCCTCCCTATTGCTCCTGCACACCCTACTCCTGCAATGCTCTCGTTTGCTTTGCTGGTTTCTGTGGTTACTATGGGCTGTGTACTCACACCTGAAGATTTGGAGCCAGGCTCCTCAGATGAGAGAAAACATGCAATGCTTGTCTTTCTGAGTCTGGGTTACCTCACTCAGTATGATCTTTTCTAGTTTCCTCCATTTGCCTGCAGAGTTCTTAATTTCATTTTCCTTTATAGCTTAATGGTATTCTGTAGTGTATATATATCACATTTTCATTATCCATTTGCAAGTTGAAGGAAATTTAGGTTGTTTCTTTTTCTTAGCTATTGTGAATAGGTTAGTAATGAACGTGGCTGAATAAGTATCTGTGGAGTAGAATGTCAAGTCTTTGGGCATATGGTAGGTTTATTTTTGAGCTTTCTCCACACTGATTTCCATAGTGTCTGGACCAACCTGCAACCTCACCAACAGTGAATGACAGTTCCTCCCCTCCACATTTCCTCCAGTATTTATTGTTAGTTACTTTGTTGATCTTGGCCATTCTGACTAGGGAAAGATGAAATCTCAAAGTTGTTTTGATTTGCATTTCCCTAATTGCTAGGAATGATGAACATTTCTTGAGATATTTCTTAGCCATGTTTTTTTTTTTTTTTTTTTTTTTCCGTTTGAGAACTCTCTGTTCATGTTCCAGGCCCATTTTTTTAATGGGTCATTTTTTTTGTTGTTGCTTTTGATTCTTTGTTTCTGAGTTCTTTGTGTATTCTGGATATTCATCCTCTGTCAGATGTATGGCTGGCGAAGATCCCCTCCCATTCTGTGGCTTCCTCTCCATCCTGTTGATTGTTTTTTTAGCTTTTAGTTTGATGAAGTTCCACTTGTCAGTTGTTGGCCTTAATTCTTGGGCAGATGGAGTCCTGTTCAGAATGTCCTTTCCTACATCTGTGTCACGTAGGGTACTGCCTATGTTTTATTCTAGCCGTTTCAGGTTTCACATTTAGGTCTTTGATCAAGCTGGAGCTAGGTTTTTTGTTTTTTTTTTTTTTTGTTGTTGTTGTTTTTTTTGTGTGTGTGTGTGTAAGGTGATAGTGACAAGTCTAATTTCATTCTTTTGCACATGGACATGCAGTTTCCTCAACACCATTTGTTAAAGATGCTTTCTTTTCTCCAGTGTGTGCTTTTGGTATCTCTGTTAAACATCCAGTGGCTGAAGTCACATGCACTTGATCTTGTTCCATTGTCTACATGTCTACACTCTAGCTCCAGCAAGGAGTCTTTGACCAGTTTGCTTGCTGTTGTTAGATCTGACTGTCACCAACACAGCCGAAATTCTGGGACAAATGAAAACATTACTAATGACCTACCTCTTAGGGAATTCTGTGCATTTGTCAAGTGGAACTTACAGTTACTATTTTTTTTTTTACTGAATTTTTTCTTTTTAAATTTTTTGCAGTTTATTTGTCCTCTCCTTAGAAATTTGCACCGTCACAGCAGATCAAGTCATTGCAGAATCTCCACTTCTGTTGCTGAGTCTAGGTCACTTTTTGCCAGCACCACCATTGGCCTTTGCAGCCCCCCTGACCTTCCTCATCTTCTTGGGTTCCTCCCTGTTTTCTGGAGGTCCTTTTCTTCTCATAAGGGCCGTGTCTCTCAAGTCTGTGTATAGGCTCAAGCTTCTTTACATAATTCAGAGAATCATATATCAAGCCAAAGTCTTTCCATTGCCCAGATGTTTTGAATCCAAATGTGGTGGTGATATCTGGTGTCGTTTTGTACACTTTGGCTAGCTCTTCCTGACTTTTTGTTTTGGATACTGTTGCCTTCCCACGGGGGAGGACATCAGTGACCATTTGTTTCCTCTGAAGCAGTTGGTTCGCCATTAACTTCCTGGTCCTGATCATTACTGTGTCATTCATGGTGGTGGTCCTCGAGCAACCAAGGAGGCAGAGAGCAGTTATTATTTTTTATTTTATTTTGTTTTTTTCTAGACAGGGTTTCTCTGTGTAGCTTTGGTGCCCGTCCTGGATCTCGTTCTGTAGACTGGCGGGCCTCTAACAGAGATCCACCTGGCTCTGCCTCCTGAGTTCTGGGATTAAAGGCGTGCACCACCACTGCCTGGCTGTTATTATTTTTTAAATGAGTAATGTTACTATAATGTTGACTGCTGTAGGCAACTTTAAATAATGGTGTTTCGAGACAGGGTTTCTTTGTGTGTAGCTGTGGCTGCCTTGGAACTCGATCTGTAGACCAGGTTGGCATTGAACTCACAGAAATCCACCTGCTTCTGCCTCCCAAGTGTTGGTACTAAAGGTGTGCACCACCAGTGTCTGGCCCTTCTGCCTGACTGTATTCTTAATGTTCAGAGTACAATGGGAACAAAACCAACAAAATTCCCATTTCCGCACTACTGATGTGCTAGGAAAGAAACCAGAGCTAAAGATGGTAATGCATAAAGTATATTTAGTAGTAATTATGTACAGTAGGGAAGAAAGGCCGTCTGAGGGAATATGAGCACTGAGAAAAGAGGGTGAGCTAGGTGCCTAGATAGGGAAATAGGACTGAGCTGTAGCAGGAGCTCGTGACTGTGCGGCCTGCTGGGTTTCCCTCTGAGCTTACATTGCCATGGCTTCTTTCAGATCCGTAAGGACGCCCTCCGAGCACTCAATGTTGCATACACTGTGAGCACACAACGCTCTACTGTCTTCCCCCTGGATGGTGTTGTACGCATGCTGTTGTTCAGAGATTGTGAAGAGGCAACCAACTTCCTCAATTACCATGGCCTCACTGTAGCTGATGGGTAAGAGCTGAGACTGCACCTGTGCACATGTCTCTTCTGCCCCGCCCCCATCACACACACACACACACACACACACACACACACACACACACACACACACACACGCTACTTTTTTAAAATTCTGTTAAAGGACTACTTGTTGGGCCTTTGAGAAGGCCTATTTTGTGTACTGCTTCCCTACTGTGAACCTAGGGAATATTCCCGAGGCACACATGGGTCCAGACCAAGTTCATTCTTTTGTTTTTGTTTTGTTTTGTTTGAGATAGGGTCTTGCTATATAGTCCTGGCTGGCCTGAAACTTGCTATGTAGACCAGGCTGGCCTCAGACTCACAGAGATCTGCCTCCCAAGTGGTATGATTAAATGTGTACGCAGCCAGGGATTTGAGAATAAAATGAACCAGACCAAGTTCTTTTTTATTCCCAAATCATTGCTTTTCATCAGTTAGCAGAGAACCTAAAGATAAAGGTTGGGACTTTCTCCTCTGCTCTTTGAAGATGCCTTTGCCCACCCCTGTTCGACCCCTGCACCCCTGGCAGCAGAGCTGGGAGTCCAGTAGGCTGTGTCAAGGTACTCTGTACCTGTAATCCGGGCTTGGATGCCCTTGATGCTCACAAACTGTTTTCCAAATAATGGCACCATTGCACTGGACATTTGGTTGTGTTTCCTCTTTCTAGTTCTGTCCTCAGGGAAGTCGTGTGACTTTGACTGAGTGGGCTGCCATCACTGAAAGAGGAGCACACTGGTTTGTGTCATTCCACACATAGCTGTTAATGTCCTGGGTCCGGTGATTCCCCAAGGCTGGAAGCTTTCTCTTCTCATATCTGTCCAGTCTTGCTCTAATCAGGGGATCCAGTAGCTGGGTTTGGGGAGGCATAGCTGTCTTCTTTCCCTGCTGACTTCTCCCTGTGGGCTCTTCCTGGTCTGGGTAGCTGTGTTGAGCTGAATCGGTCGGCATTCTTGGAACCAGAGGGATTATCCAAGTCCTGGAAGTCAGTGTTTATTGCCCAAAAGCTGACTGTGTCAGTTGGAGAAGTTGTGAATGGAGGGCCACTGCCTCCTGTACCTCGCCATACACCTGTGTGCAGCTTTAACTCCCAGAATAAATACGTTGGAGAGAGCCTGGCTACGGAGCTGCCCATCAGCACTCAGAGATCCGGTGCAGACACAGCAGGTGAGTGAACTCTAGTGCATTTTCCCTCTTGAAGTCTCCCTGTTACCAGAAGATTCTGTTAAGGGTTTGGAGTCCTGGCTCTTGGCCAGATGCTTAGATAGCTCTCACTTTGCCTGGGTTCGGAGTTTTGACGCCCTTGTTAGTGGTTATGACACCATGATACAGTTTCCACACAAAGCATGTATCATCCTCTGCCATATACCCTTAGGATGGTTGTCAAGAGGGCAGTGCCCTCCTTAGGGTTTGGATAGCTCTGGTCCTTTCGTAGAGATTGTAGTTCTGTGGTTCTGGTAACAAGCACCGGCGTGTTTTCTTTCTAGGTGGCGGGAGAAGAGAGGAGTATGAAGCCGAGGTAGATGTGCCACCGTTGACTCTCCTCCCACAGCCTCCTCCTGCACCCTCATCCACACCAGTGCTTCACGGCCCACCACTGGCCCCAGTTGTGGCACCCGGCCTTTTCCAGTCCTCCATGCAGCCTGAGCTGCTGCCTCCAAAGCCTGCACCTGTGTACTCTGAATCGGTAGGGTCTTCTGCAGTAACGCGCCGTGAAGTCTAGACATTTGTGTGAGGGGGCTGTGTTACCTGGCCTCACTGGCTAGGAGCCAGAATCGGGCAGGTACGGGAGAGGACCTGTCCAGGGTCCCAGCCTCAGGTGGCAGACGTACGGCCATTCCTTCGGGGTGGCTGCAGAGACCCTGTCCTCATCATAGCGGTCAGAACTGCACCCAGTGCCTCCTGCCACAATGCCGGGCTGAACCCGGCATGTCTCTGCTGGTTGCTGAGTACTTGCTCGTGTGTGACACCAGTGGCTGAGCTGACCAGGGCCTGTGGGGTCACAGCACTGCTTTGTGCCTGTGGACAGAGGGTGCTGCACAAGTGACTAGACCTACTGGAGGACCGGGGAGTCTTGAGGGAAAGCCTAAAGGTCACAGAAATTGAGGATTTTGATGTGACCTGGAAATGATGTCTAACGGTGCTATTGTGGCACCCACAGGGCAGTCATGAGTAGGCTTGCCCTAGCCCCTCTGGAAGGCACCTTTCTGTTGTTCGGAGGTCTTCCTGAAGACCCCGCACTAAGGTCCCCGTGCTTTACCAGGAAAACTGTGAAAAACTTTCACAAATGTCCACTAAGAAGGCTTCTCCCAAGATGTCTGCCTTGGCAGACAACCTGGTCCAACTCCTGTGCTGGCCTCTCCTTAGGACCTGGTGCAGGTGGTGGACGAGCTCATCCAGGAGGCTCTTCAGGTGGACTGTGAGGAAGTCGGCTCTGCTGGGGCGGCCTATGTAGCCGCAGCTCTGGGGTGAGTGGACCCGACATGCAGCTGTCTCGCTCGGCTGTTGTTTGATCTCTGGGGACAGCCTTGCCCTTCCTTATAAGCTGTTCTCATTCATCAGCAAGACCCAGTTCTGTGTGCTTAAGATCCACAGTGCCAAGTGCAAGGGCTTCGCACCTCTCCAAGACCTAAATGTTTCCTGTATTCTCCAGGCGGATGTAGTTTCTCTTGCTCCCTCACC